CCATACAGAAAGCTGACCGCCGAAGAATGGATGCCTTTGAATTGTGGTGCTGGAGGAGGCTCTTGAGAGTCCCCTGGACTGCAAGGAGAACAAACCTATCCATTCTAAAGGAAATCAACCCGGAGTGCTCACTGGAAGGACAGATCCTGAAGCTGAGGCTCCAATACTTTGGCCATCTCATGAGAAGAGAAGACTCCTTGGAAAAGACCTTGATGTTAGGAAAGTGTGACGGCAAGAGGAGAAGGGGACAACAGAGGATGAGACAGTGTCTGCGAAGCAACCATCATGAATTTGACACAACTATGGGAGGCAGTGGAAGATAGGAGGGCCTGGTGTCTCTGGTCCATGGGGTCACAAAGAGTTGGACACGACTAAACGACGACGACGACGATTAACATATGAAAAACCAAATATGTCAAAATTTCCCCCCACCACATTTAGGTAAACAGATAAGATTTTCAAGGTCAGTCATGATTAATGAAATATGTTAAACCTTTCCCTCTAATGTTCTAGTAATGTTCTAATCTTCCAATTTTATATGGTAATAAATTCAGGCTTGGCTGTACTTTTACACTTGTTAAGAAACACCATGGATTCTAGTTGTCTGTCTGTCCATCTGTTGAGTGTCATTAAAGGAGAATGGAACAAAAATGGAATATGACAAAGGATGAGAGAACAGGACCTCCCTTGAGATGTTTGCAACCTAAAATTCAATGGATGGAATGTGAAAGAAGAAGGAGAGTCAGGGTAAGCAGCATAGGCATGTCTTGGCCAGAGCAGAGATGTGTCTTCCCATTGCTGGGCTGAGATGCCTCCATTGCTTTTTCTACAAATGACCTTGGTGAATGGAGAAGCAAAACAGGATGGTTTGTTATAGTTTCTTAAATTCATTTGCAGGAGCAGAGATGGGCCTCTTCATTTTACTGACCTGCCTGCTAGGGCAGTGGAAATTTTTTGTTTCACACACTGATACAAGGACTCACTTTCTAATTATTGTCAAACATAGGGGGAGATGGTCTTCAGAACCTGCACTCACCACCACCACCACCACCACTTTGCACCATGTTGCCTTCCCTGAAATGACTAAGCCATGGCTGGGGTGTAACACACAGAACTTCCCAAGCATAGTATAGATATCAGTCCCATGTGAGGGGCCTTGCAGCCCAGTCTGGCATCCTCAGAAGCTGTTCAGAGAACTTTCAGTCCATGTATGATGAAGCAAGCAATGGCAGGACAGTTAGGTAATTCCCCTACCTGGAACATGCATTATGTAATTCCTCCAGGAGTTGCTTGGATGCACGTGACTCAAGGATGCAACAGAATTTACTTGGAAAAAGTATTCGCTGCCAAACCCTTATTCTGCCCCAATTACTTATCACATTTTTTTAAATACATGACGCATAGAGAGGGCAGAAAAGGAGATCCCGAATGGCCTAAATTAGCAGTTATTTCACTTCTGCAGTCATGTGAAGTGTAACAAATTCTGCAATGTAACAGCTGTGGCCGGGTGCTGGTGAGTAAAGAGTAATCAGCGGCCCATCCTCCAGCAAGGAGAAACGTCATGTGATACTGATAATTACTGCATTTCACTTTGGCTGTGGATATCATGTGATTCTATGCAGGTGCAGGGAAGGGGCAGAGAACAGAAAGTGATGGTGGGTACCAAACTCAGCTTCCTGAGAATCTTTTAATTTTTGTTTTGAAAAAGCCAAGTTTCTACTACTATGACTTTGCTGACAAGGTGATGAGGAGGGGACCAGTGAATCTCACAAGTTTGTGGAATAGATTTTAACTGGTCAGGGGAGAAAGATTTTCAGTGGACATGTTCCTCTCAATGCCTGGCAAGAGCAGAGAAAATGATGTACAAAAATAAAAAATGTGCTTCTCTCATATAGTAGATGAAAGTCACAGTATCCAGTTCATCTTTGTGCAAGATGTAAGGGCGTGGGCTGGTGATGGCATAGAACCTTGGCTTTGAACTTGTGTCATAGTGTGTGAGCAACAAAAAGAGCTACCATTCATTGGTGCTATGATCTCATTGGAACTTTCTGAAAATACATCTCAGGCCACCTTCCCTGACTGTGACTCTCACAGGCACAGCTCAACCCATGGAGGTTTCTTAAGGCTCCAGACCCTTTCAAGACCTTTTCTATTCTTTTCCTCTTTTTTTGTTTTACTGTGTTGTTTTTTTAAGCAACAACAACAACAAATATTTTTAAAAGGAACACTTGAAAGCAAAACACCAAGGCTTCAGCAGCCTGTTATCTTCATTTCCCCAGAATGCCTCTGGGCCCTATCTGTGCTTTGAAGCAAGCCTGGCCACCCAATAAACATGTTTGTTTGTTTGTTTGTTTTTAATTAAAAGGGACTGTGTCCTGTTGATCTTACGCCGGGAGGAAGCAGAATGCAGAGTATGCTTTTGGTGGTCAGGCGGTGCAGCTCAAGAGACTGGCATGTGAGACTGAGGGGATGATGGAGACAAATAGGATGGCATCAGAGTCATATAATAGCTGGTAAAGAGCATAAGAGGAAATATGGTGCAAGAGCATATGCACAAGAGGAACAATAAACACACACACACACACATCAAAGTGCGGTCCAATAAATTGGATCTCTTGAATTTGCTTGATTAAAAAAAAAATCCCACCAAACACACCATCAATTTACTGATCTTATCCATTCCATGCAATGAACTGTAAAAACCCCATTCAATGCTTTTTAGAACAGCCATGTCACAAAAACATGGATTTGAATCACAAGGCACAGATCCTCAGGATTTTTAAGTCTGAGTTCAGTTGCCAGTGTGACTTAAGTCTGATTTGACAGCAAGTCCCCATCGCTGCTAAACAGTACTAAAAACACATTTAAAGTGGCTGGATACTCAGTGATGTATATATGTCTGCCTGCAGAGCCAGAGGTTGGAAGTTCAATCCCCCAGTGGGCCTCCTGTAAGTAGAACCAGCTTTTGTGGCCTTGGGCAAGCTGCATGGTCCCTGGGGCACCCCCAGAAGAAGGAAAGGGTTAACTGCCTCTGTGTACCTGGAAAACCCTGAAAATGGTTGCCACAAGTCAGGATTGACTTGACAGCACATAACTATTATTAAAAATAGATTTAAAAGCAACACATTTGAAAACAGCAAGGCTTCTTGTTGACATCACATGAAAAGATCACAAAACCCAAAAAGGATCAGTGCCTCAGATGAATGTCTTGGTGCCATGGTGCTGAATGTATCATTTTTACTGTGCATCATTAGATCTCAACACCAGCTTTAATTTGGGAGTGGTTTTATTTTGTCTCTATGCTACAAAATCACGCACACTGTATGTCTCTTTTAATGCTACTGGACTGGGCATTTATGAAACCCCATGCCAAAACTAACAGTGTGAATGTAAGCATATTGTGAGTGACTGGTTTTCTTGGGGAAGAAGATGGTAGGAGTAGAAAATTCAGGAAAGGCTCTTTACTGAAAATGTAAAAAGTGCTCAGGGGCTCAGAAAATTTCGGCATCCCTGAACTAAGGCTAAATCACGATGTACATGAACAAATAATATCAGATATCTGTAGTGGGGATTATTCAAGACGGTGTATCATATGTATTTTTGAATTCTCACAGAACTTCTAAAAATGGGAGTGTACAGTCAGTCTCCAGTCCATTATCCCCAGTCCCTTCGGCACTCCCACTGAATAAAGTCATATATCCCATGGTTCTTAGCTGATTCCCCTGCATTGCAAGCAGTCATTATCTGTGTGACAACTGGAGGTATTCTGAGCATAATAGGCGCTAACAGTGGGCTGTGAATCCATTGAAGATGTAGCCTGTATTCAAATTAATGAATTCCTACTTCTGACATTTCTAGCAAGAACTGGTTTATCTGGTAAGATAATTGTGAGGAATGCTGGAAGTTATAGTCAACACCACCTGGAGGGCAATACTTTGACCACTCTTACCCAAGGTAAAATGATTAATAGTTCAGTAATCCTATTCATGTTTACTTAGAACTGAATTCTGTTGAGTGTGGTGGGATTTAAGAACATAAAAGCTGTGTTGTATAAGCCCAAAGATTTATAAAGTCCAGTATCCTGTTTTTAATAGTAGCAAATATTGGAAGCTTACATGGAGGATAATATCACCTTCTCTCAGTCAGAGGTTGGAAGTCACTAGCTACATGTAACTTAGTTACCTTTGTTTAATAGGCAATGTAATGAGTAGTAACAAAGTTACTTAGGGTGTAACTTTGTCACTTTTACAGGACAGTTTAAGGCCTTTAAGAGGAATTTTGTCAGAATGCTCCAAGTTTCATGACATTCTCTTATCGGTCCTAAGTGGCAAGGCAATTGTCCTTTGATTTTGTCTTTCTTAACTATTTTTATAAACATTTCCAAGCTGCAATATCAGAATTGGCTACTAGAAAGAACAAGAACATTTTTTGATCAGGTGATAACACCAATGCAAATTGTTAATAACAACACTAGAAGTTATTTGCACCACTGGAATAGCTATAATGGTAATGATAACCTGGCTGCTAATAACCAGTGAGCTATAATACCAAGCCATTCAAAATTTAAACTTCGTCATGATCCTCAGCAACTGGTATTCAGAGGGATACTGTTCCTGAAGCAGGAGATGATAGATAGATATGATGACTAGAAGCTACTGATAAATTTACTCTCCATCAATCTGTATAAGCCCCTGTTAAAGAAGTATGAATGTCTTCAGCTGGAAGGCTCGTAGTGCCTGCCTGCTCAAAGCCTTGAAGAGATATTTCATATTACCTTGTTTATATATGTGTTTGATTGTAAAAAGAAATGATAAAAGTAAGTGATAGGGGAACATGGGGATGTTACAAATAGGTGACACCTATGCACACAGCACAAACTTCTGTTAATGGGCATGTCTTTGGTACACACAGGAAATCTTTTTACTGAATGAAATGGTAACTGAGACTTTGATACTGGATCAGGACTGAGTGACTTGAAGGCTTTGTTAATGGGCGGAGCCTGTGTTGGGGAGATGAGATCCTCAACAAGTGTGCCTGAGTTGTTTGGGATTCCCCCTTTGAACTTTCCTTGAACATCAGACATCCCTGTTCAAGCAACAGCTTCTGCCATCTCTTCAGGCAGCAAATCTTCCTCCGTGATCAGTCCTCCTGGTCTTTCAGGCTTGATCACACAGGTCTTTCTCCTGCCTGCAATAGAGGATGAGTTCCCATTCATCTTTAGCAATTCTTGTGCTGATTACAGTAGCAGAGGTACCATGGCATCCTTTGAAATTGCATCCTTGTGGATAAAGTGGGAAGCAATATCACTTAGAGCACAATCTTTAGATGTCTACTCAGAAGTAGGTTCCACTGACTTCAGAGGGCTTAGTCACAAGTAGGTGGATACAGCATTGCGGCTTTAATTATTTATGAGTATTTTAAAAGGGTAGGAGGGAGTCTCAATGCCAATGCTTATGTAACAGACTCAGTTCTTATTATTAAAAAAGTGTAACACTACAATCCTATGCAAGTACTGTATACTGAGAAGCAAGTCCCATTACATCCAATGGGGTCTGGCCAAACTACATGAATGTGGGATTGCCGTTTAAGTGTCTTCTAACATTGTCTCCCTCCTCCATACAAAACATTTTTAGAAATATGTATCTTACTAAAACGTACAAATGAATAGCACATTTGGAGAAAAGGCAGACTCTATGTGCATCTAATAAATAAACAAGCCTAAATATAGGACTAAAAACATGGCAGGATGTATTTCTGAGCATATCTGTATCAGTTTGCATTGTTAGGGAAATTCAGTCCTATGAATATTTTTCCCGGGGAGTAAGCCTTATTGAAAATTGAATGTGACCTATTGGTGCATGATCTCAGAAAGCAGAACAGAAATAAGTGACTGGAAACCTGGCAGTCTTTGTTATTCAGTTATCCTTATAGTGCAAGGTTAAAAGATTTTTAATCAACCGGTAATAAGGGCAGCATGAACGAGGGAATGGTCTTTTGTGCATCAGCTTGGTGGTCCTCCTGTGCTCTACACACCATATGAGGCTTCTCATAAGTTCCAGGAAACTGAATTTTGGCTCCCTGGGGTATTGCTGTAAGGCACTTTGGAGTCAAGAAGCTAAAAGAGAGGAAGGTAAGCAGCTGAGATTGCAAGGGAAACATGAAAGGTTTTGGTGGGGTTGGGGTGGGAAATGGATTTTTCAAAATTCATGAAATCGTTTTCTTTCCTCTAAAGCAGGGGTCACCAAACTTTTCATCATGAGGGCCACATCATATAGTTTACACATTTTCGAGGGCCAAAGGAACTTGCGCGCACACGCACGGGCTGAAGAGAATGGACCCGAGCCTGCGGCATTCGCCAGGGTGGATAAAAAGGCAAGCAGGCTGGATGTGGCCCATGAGCTGTAATTTGGAGTCCCCTGCTTTGAAGCTAAAGAAGTCTCATGGCACAGTGGTTTAACTGGAGTACTCCAGCCAAGACTCTGCTAATGACCTGAGTTTGATTGTGACAGGCTCATGTTGCTGGCTTGAGATTGACACAGCCTTCCATTCATCTGAAGTCAGCAGACTGAATATCCAGCTTGGGTGGGTGGGGGACAATGAGTAGCCTGCATAATTAAAATTGTAAACCTCCCAGAGAGTGCTTTCAGTGCTATGGAGCGGTATATAAGCAGCACACTTTGATTTTGCTTTTAAAAAGTGAAAGGGGGGACAGAAATTAAATAATGAACAGGATTTTTATTCTTTTTTTCTGCTAAGGCTTTATTGTAGTTATGTAACATATATTTAAAGAGCAATGAAACACTACCTTAGTAATTTAAAAAAAACTGCCCTTTCCAACTTAGACATAACTGAATTAGATGCTGGGACTCACAAAGAGTTAAGCAAAGAGTTAAATGTTAACTAACTTATCACCAATTTTGTCTTTTTCACAGTTTTTGCTCCTGCTCTCACACAAGAAGGGCAGCAGCCCTATGCATTCATTACTGGGAGTAAGACCCAGTGGATCCAGAGCTTCTCCTGTCTGAGTAAACATATGTACAGTCAGACTGAAGGAGTGAATAGGAACACAGCCATTCTGCCACTGTCAATGGAGTCACAAGTCTGCTGCCTGAGGCAACTGAAAACAAAGGTGGCACTTCGCATTAAGCACCCTCAGGCCCACAACTACTTTATCAGCAAGTTAGAACAACCATGTTGTGTAGGACAAAGTGAGCAGGGGGAGAAGTGCGTTAAGCTTACGGATACTTTTGCACTTAGCAAAAAGGGAAATGACCTCTTTTCCTTCTCAGCAGGGTGGACATCCAAGTCACCCTCAGTAGGATAATGCACAATTCACAATGCCCTGAAAGCCTGCGTTGCAAATGAAAATTTTAAACACGTGGCATGATCCTTGTGCAAAATTCAGAATTAAGGGTGGATACTTTAACTGAAGTATGAAAGTATCAAAAATATGCAGGCTTTCCAGTCTGACAGGGCTATTTGTCTGGCTGCACATTGCAGAGTTGGGCTAGGAGGAGAGAAAAACTGGGGTAGTGGTGGTGGTGCACAGAGAACCGCCTTAGCTGGATGCTGAAGCTTAAGGATCAGTAGCTGAACCTGAAGTTCCAAGATGGAGATTGGCAAGTCAGTCTGAGCTGTGCTCAGGTTTCCCATCAGGGGAGAGTCAAGCCAACAGTGGTGTCTCTCTTTACTCAGTGAAATCCCCTGTTGCTCTGTATCGCATCACGGTGCCCCTGCTTCAATGAGCAGCATAAACCAGGAGGAACATGGCAATTCCAGTACCAGAAACACAAACAATCAAGGTGGTGACTGGACTTTCTGTTTTCTCTCCCGACTCCTCAAGCTCTGCAAGGCCTGCCCTCAGAAAGAGGCCTGCAGAACGATGGTGTGTTTTTGATATTTGAGTAGTCTAATAAAGGCATCGCCCATCCAGATGTTTGCATGATGAGGCATGCACTTCTAAACACGTGTTTGGCACATTCACACTCAGGTTTTTTCGATCTAAAATTGGGGTGCGGGAGGGGGGGGAATATAAAGATTCCACAACTTCGAAGAGCCATAGGTCTGGACTCTGAATTCGATAGAATAACAAAATGTACATGTCCCCTAAATCTTACTGGGGGGGTGGGGTGGCGGAGGAAACAAAACCCCCAAAAGACAGCGCAACCCAAAAACCCTTCGAGGCAGCAGCACGCGAGCGAGAGAGCGAGCGAGAGAGCGAGGAGGGGGCGCGCGTGCCGACTTCTAGCTACGCGCCGTACCCTTCAGGCGCGCGCGCGGGGAGAAGGTCTAGTCGGGCTCGAGAAGGGAAGGAAGCGAGGGAGACCCTGTGGCGGAGGAAACAAAACCCCCAAAAGACAGCGCAACCCAAAAACCCTTCGAGGCAGCAGCACGCGAGCGAGAGAGCGAGCGAGAGAGCGAGGAGGGGGCGCGCGTGCCGACTTCTAGCTACGCGCCGTACCCTTCAGGCGCGCGCGCGGGGAGAAGGTCTAGTCGGGCTCGAGAAGGGAAGGAAGCGAGGGAGACCCTCCGA